TCAAATGAAATCCAATGAATAATCTCAAATATTGACCAAACGGACATTAAAAAAAAAAACTGATGGAAACCGCTCATGCTGACTTAATGGATTTGCCTGCTTGCAGTGAGAAAACTATAGTGTTGATGAAAAATTCATGACTCATGAATAACACGAATCGAATCATAGGGCAGATTAGACGCTTTTGCAATGAATCGTTTATCTTAACTGAAATCACATCGTTCACTAACCTTCTCCTCTTCTTTCCTTTTCTCATTCATATCGGTACGATCTCTTAGCTTTCTGACCGACTGCTCCTTATCAGATTCCTCCTCCTAAAACGATAACATACCGAATCAAGAGAATACATTACACATCCCACCACAAGGAACACTGCTCAATATGCTTGTTTCAAAATTTCTATATGAATCGCCGCCTAGGAAGCCTTTTCCCTGAATTATCCATGATCATGTGCACTAAAAAGCTAGCTTCACTAATGGAGCGCAATTAAGAGCGATACGTCCTCCATGAATGCATTCCAGAGAAACCTTTCACGCTTACTGTAATAGTGAATAGCTCATCGCGGAATCAGTTTCCCCTCAACTTTCGGTTACAATTTTCGAAAAGACCACTTCTAATAGATACATTGAGTTTCAGGTGTCATTATATCTTATGAAAGGTACTGCGATCATTCTATGATCCGATGGCTCATGAAAATTCCCAGAAAGGAGTGCGAGCGATTGGGCTCAAACGAACCGATTGCTCATCTTCTTCACCACTGTGTTCAGCGCATATGGAACACTCCCAACCACAGTTACGATTTTTCTTCGGCATTTTCGCGAGTGGTGGATCCAAACATGCCAAATGGTAATGATTCTTACATATGTCACACATTACCAACAAATGCTGATCGGTGCACTGAAATGAACACAACAAAAGTAGAACATAACGATGGAAGTAGACGAAATTTTCCACACGCTTCCGAATGTTCTCGGTTCTGAATGAATATCTTGATTATCCTCATACAAGAGCTTGTAATCCACTCATGCAATCCATGAACTCATCGAAAAATCTTCTTCTATCCCTCTCAAGTTCAATGGCTACCGTCATGAGGTAAATAGATATCGCTCTAAAAACAGCCACAAGGCGATCTGATTGATGTGAATCAACTTGAAATGTTAACCAAATATGCGCAATAACAATGCAATCGCAAACCAGTGTTTCTGATTAATATTGTTGATAAGAATACAAATCTCCTGTTATTAGGTGAAACATTCACCTTATGACATATGCTGCAAACAGGTGGAGATGCGTGTAAGGACTGCAGAATCGGGGTATTTGGTTGAGATTTGCTTATGGGTGAGATATCATTTGATTTTGTAGTGTTACTGGCACTAGTACCACTACTAATACGTCCATTTCTTTTGCTTGATACTGACTTCGAACGAGCACATGCAGTTGGCGATACAGTCGATGTCGACGGTTTACTCGATGGTGTCTTGGAGGCGCGATGTTGTCTGCAATAGAGCAACAAGTTAAGCTAACTATCGAACCGGATAATTTGTTTTGCATTCACATGTGCAAGTGATTACGTTCACTCCAATCATTTCCGTGAATCAACTTGGATTAACACCTCACATTCGAAACATCCAAAGCCTCTCATCATATTCGATCATGTGCTTGTATTGTCAAAGAAACACTGTGAAAGCATGAGATACCTCCGAACAATCTGAAAATCAATGAAAAACCAACTTCGATGGTGAGCACAGTTCATGTGAGAGGCCTGTAAATGGCTTCCGAATCTTCTTCACTCCTAACGCCACCATCGTACTGTACCAACTGAGCAGCACACGTTGTTCTCGAACCGGACTCTGTACACGTGGTTGTGGCGACGTGTTGCTATTCGACGCTGATATCGATTTTTCCAACTGAAAATCAATTGTTTTCCAGACACGGAGGCANTCTAGTTCGTATTCTGATGAGATTCAAGACATATCCTATTCAATGAAAGGTTTGAAGCGGAAAGTCATGCACTACAACATGACAAGTATGATAAGACAATGAAAGAAGTAGAAAATCGCACGTGAGGATGCTTCTTACCTCACAAAGTTCCTTCTCGAGTTCAGCTTGTTGTTTACGTAAATTCATTGCTTCCGTTTCCAGCTCCTTCAGTCGCATTCTCTCAGTGGGTAATATCTTTTCCCGAGCTTCGAAATAGCTGCAGAAATGAACACATCACAAAAATACTCACCATCCACATTTTATAATTATTATCTTAAATTACTACTATCACTTGGTGAATCGCAAAGAATGATGACATAAAAACGCTAAATTTACCTGAGGAATTCGTGTGAAAATCCTGGCGGAAGATAGGAGAGATCGGCACCATCGATACGTTTGAAATTACGCTCGAATTGCTCGTGAGTGAAACCAGCGCAAATGGCCTTATCGCGGAACAAATCCAAAAACATCGGACTCGTATTCAGCAACTTCGGACGTTTAATATCATTCTGCAAACAGAATGGTTTGAATCTCTCCAACCCACTAACAGAAGTAATTTCTTCAGCACAGCTCGATAATTGGTCGAGTTGAAAGAGTACGTCGCATTCAAGTACGAAACTGAATGGTATAAAGAACACGAGCGAGTAGACATCCATAAATAAGGTTTCAACAGATAAACAGTCAAAATCACTATCTGAATGCTTAATGTCTGATTCTCTTGTCTTCTCAATTGCCCCGCAGTCTTAATAAAGTTACCGTCTACTGAACATGTTGGCCCCTATCGCTGAAAATGGTCACAAAGCTACTACCTCTGGCCACGATATCGAAACACCTTCGAGACTTTTCAGTATTTTCTTGTGTCTGGCTAATCCACGCTGCCTGAAATTATCCAACCATATAACAATTTATGAATATCAATAGATCACATGATACAGTTATTATATATTCAGTATTACCTTCCAAATATCAATTCGAACAGTTA